CTCTCATATGATCGATTTGGATCATACATCGACTGTACCGCTGTCTGTCTTTGAATGTAGATAATAATTCTGGATGGGAAGTCTGGTGGTATGCTGTGGGAAGTCAGCCTTTTGAACAGTCCCAACTCTCCCAGACCTGCATCAATACACACCACCAACTCCTTCTCGGTCTTTGTGTTTTGGGGCACGATGGCCTTGGACGCCAACTCATCTGTAAGTGCACTGCCTTTCATTGAAGATGCATCACAAGAGATGTATTAAAAAATGTTACCTGATTTTAACATCTCCTTCCAGGTGCCATTAGTGAGTGACCGACATTCTTACTTGCTCCACCCTCTTTACTCTAAAGTCCTCCTTGAGTCGCCCAGTTCCCTGGACCACATTGTAACATTTAGAGGTGCTTTTGCTCAAAATTATATAATCAGTTAAATACAACATGTGCATCAGTAGTTGGAGGGCTGGGGAATCATGGGTCGGCTCTATGTGTGACTGTGTTTGTGTTCTTATCTTAGCCACGCTGTTGGAGCGTGGACGCCATGCTGCCTACATCCTGCTGACAGGTCCTGAGAGGGAGGGAGCCGAAGGCAATGTGGTCCTCAGCAAGCGAAAGCTGAAACAGGACGTCCCTGACAGCAAAGTGCTCCGTATTGGCACCGGCGGAAGTCCAGAGACCAATGACGACATCAAAGAGGCCTTCAATCGTCTCCGCTTCAGCGATTGGTGAAAGGACCAACTTCAAAATGTAGAGTATATCCTCAGTGTTCAAACCGTTTTTGGCACAGCTAACTGTATTGTGACTTAAAAACCAAAGTGTGTACACTCTATGACTTTCCAACTGCTGACAACCAAAAAAAAAATATCCTGTGTGTTTAGAGACTTGGGTTGACTTGACTTGACAGGGCTCTTCCATTAATCCCGACGGGACAAACTGGGCATTATCAGTTTTCAGCCTTGACTGCATATCTTGAGCTTGATATTCCCCAGTGTCCAAGAGCTCCTGTTCCCTGACAATCGCACAACGATTCTGCTCTTCTCCTGCTGATAAATCCACCAAGAGGATCTGCCTTGCTGTACTGTTCCTAGCACTTTCATGAATCAATGCAGTGCTCTTTTTTTAATTGCAGAGGCTGGATTATTATTTGAATCTATGCATCTTTATGTCGCACTGGCCTTTAAAAGTAGCAGACACACGCCAACCATCACAGGTGGTGGTGCCTGTGTATTTGACATTAGAGTAGCCTGAAGGGAATGGCTGCACCATGATAGATAGGGCTGCTCTTTTGGTACCTTTTCTAAAACATGTATAGTAAAACAGACAGATATACAATGAAACTTGAAATACAACAGAAACCCCACCAACCTTAAGGTATACAATACGTGGTTACTTTTTTTTTTTTTTTCCCCCAACGTATTGTTTGTGAAAGTAGTCAGGTAGTTTTATAGTAAGTGGTACTGTTGTCAATAATCAAGATGTATATCAATCCGAGGTGCTGTAACTAGTGATTCTTTTTTTAATTTTTTGAAAGAAAATTAATCACCGACTATTTTGATAACGGATTAATCGTTTCAGTCATTTTTCAAGCAAAAGTGACAAATATTTGTTCTAGCTTCTTAAATGTGATACTTTGCTACTTTTTATTGTTATTTATGATAGTAAATACAGAGTTGTTGGGTTTTGGACTGTTGGTTGGACAAAGGAAGCAATTTAAAGAGATCACTTTGGGTTCTGGGAAATTGTGATGAGCATTTTTCACGATTTCATGACATTTTATAGACTAAACGATTAGTCGTGAAAATAATCGGCGGATTAATCTATAATAATAATAACACAATCGTTAGCTGCAGCCCAATCTTTAATGCACACTGACTAAACTTTTGAGCCACTCAGTGCTAAGTCTCAAAGGCTCTCCATAGTATTGAGTTACTGCTGTGGGTTTACAGCTTAATATAAAGCTGTTTTTTCCCCCTCAATGATTTATATGAGTAAATAAGTGAAAATGAGGTTCTTGTTCTTGCTGTATATTTACATATTGAACCTGTGGGGCGGGCCTTTGTCAGCTGGTTTTTATTTTCTGACTTAATATGTTTGTTTTGAGCAATATTAAACACTTTTAAAATAACTGCTTTTGTTTCATCTCAAAGATGTCTTCTTTTAGATTTTCTTTATTTTTTTTGTTGAACAGTCAGATTTCTATTCAATCAAAGAACAAATATGCGAAGGGAGTTTACCCAGTATGGCTTTATAAATGAACAAATACCAGTGACTGAGCCTACGAAAGGCCAAAGATGGCCAACCAGCCCTGGAATAAAGCGTGCAGTGATGAGTGGGGGTTTTACAATTTGTAACACATCTCAGTGCACTATGATATGCCGTATCTAACATAAGCAAACAATGTGCAGATGCATTCATGTACAACATAGAACCAGTAAAAATGTAGCAGCAACCAGTGTTTTTCTGGCCTCAAAGGGGAAACAGGACTTGTTTCTGAAATAAAACCCCCTAAGTGACTTCCCCCTGTATCAATAGTGGGAGAACGTAGGCTGACTTGCGTGTTTTTGGGATCACCTTAGAGCTTAGAGAGAGGTTGAAAATATAGGTCAGGGTTTGAGTGATGAAAGAAAGGTTCAAGGTTGTCTGGACCAGCAGGTTACTGCTGTGAAAGCAGAAAACACCTGCCCTGTGTTCCAATACCCATACTACCATACTATTTAGTACGCCAGAAAAAGAATTAGTGTGTCCCAATACATAGTATGTCAGATGCAGTATGCCAAAAGTACCAGGATGTTCTACTACATCCGGCCATATTTTGCAGTATGCATGTCAGCATGCTTCTTTGGCCATTCTGACCCACAATCCTTTGCACAGCGGAAGTTACGTCACAGTTACTGAGCTGTGTGTACAACTAACGCCCACACTTCCTTTCATACATGGTTTATTTAATTTGAGATACTAATACGCTACATATTAGGACTGCAATGATCTGATTATATACTGTCACATATCATACAGTTTTGCAAGAACACAGATACAACATTCAACTGTATTGTGATTATAGTATAATCAATGTTAGGGTTCAACTATGACTACAATATAGAAGATTCTAGCAGTATAGGCAGTGGTGTAAGTGTGGTATAAATAATGAATGAATATGACTAAATATGAATATACTATGGGCCAGGTATGAGCAGTATAGACTAGTAAATATATGAATAGTAAAAGTCAAATACATATTAAGTAATGTAAGAATGTGCAAGTATGTTACACTACAAATAAAAGTAATGTGACTGTAAGGCTGCTTCATGTGCAGACAGAATATAGTGCCAGCAGCTGCATAGCTGTAAATATATTTAACATCAAACATCTGCCAGCAACAGAGAGCTATGTGTGAAGGGGGTAAATAAGCCTACTGGTGACTAGTTCAATAGACAGGTCACTAATAATAGGCTTGGGACTGTTTACGTGAACACGTCAGTTTATTAGAAACAACAACATACATTACGACATAACAGCAACAGAGCTCTCTGGCACCTCCAACGGTATGCACAGCTCTGGCGAGCTTGACGAGAGGAGATTTGCTGCATCTCCGAAGTACAACAACACAAAATATTCAAATGTGGCGCTACGGACGGCGGCGGAAGTGAGCAAGAGGGTCGGAGTTCAGGGAGCGATGTGATGGCGAATGTAGTGTGTCCCAATAGTATGCATACTGCATGCATACTGCATACTACACTACATACTTTTTAAGGGCAGCTGCAGTACATACTAAAAGTATATAGTAGAAGTATGCGATTTGGAACGCAGGGCTGGGGTATCTTTGTAAATGGAGCAATTGAAGATGATGGCGAAATTGACAAATTGAAAGCAATAAAATTATTTTAGTCTGCTCCTTTTATCTACATACAATTTATGATGAGTATACTGTTGATTTAATGAGCGACATCAGATCAGGGTCATTTCTTTTGCCTGAATCCACCACCTGCGGACTGGTGAGCAAGGATGAAGAATGGTGTCATAAACATGACAAAACAAAAGTTATGAATAAATCTAATATTCAAACCCTTTATAACGCCAGTTTACCACATAATATTCTAATTAAAAACATTTTTTCATCTAAAACAGTCCATTATTTATCAAACCGCTGCTGCCCTCTGGCGTCCTAATGTCCACATTGCTAAATGCACAGCAGTGGAGCAGCGTGGAGCAGCCATGCGCAATAACGCACATGCATAGCCGCCCGGCTGGCTCGCAGTCCATGGACGTATTGAAGTCAGTCACGTATCGCACGGGCTGTACAGTCCAGCTTCTTCACCATGACGCACAACTGCTGACAGGCTCATGTTCTCCTGGAATAATTTGGGGAACGTAAAGTCGCTCCTAGTATGGAAGCAACCGGATCTTGAAACGTTTAGCCCATCATACCTAACATTTTTTTGGGAAAAGGCGCACTAGCAGCTGGCTGTAGGAGTATGAGCACGCTGGAGGTCTGATGGGGGATTTTCGGTGAAGTTGGATGAAACTGCGCCCCATCATTCCTCTTTATAACCGAGCAGCCGCACTGATAAGGACTGTTCCGCTGTAACATGTGACATGACCCATAAACAGTATCATTGCTGCCCCCATGTAACCTGGCAGCTGTAATTCCTGGACAGTCTCCCGGCATATGCCAGCCGCTCACCTTATTCCTCCAGCTGCATAAAGCTATGTAAATATATCAGTGTTTTTTAAAAGCGCCTCTGCCTTATCTATTACAATACCACCTGAGACAGTACAAACATCTATTAATGATTAACACAATACTGACTGTCAGACACTTCCGCATGGAGAAGTAAACTTCGCAGCGGTGTTACAAACATGGCATTAAACAGTGAAATAAAACACCTCGCTGCCCCTGTGGTGTCTCAGTTCACATCAGCTGCCCCTCATTCACCTGCACATCACTGAGAACACACGCGTATTGATAGTCTGGGCCGTATTTGCCTGTCATTTCAATGTGACCTGTGTCCGCCATACCGTTATGATAGGACTGCACGCATGCATTATCTTTGGAGCGCGCGCGCGCGCGGTGCACACTGCTTATCGGAGGAACGAGACACTTTCGCCGTCCGGTATAAAAGTCACGTCGAGCTCGAGCGAGGAACTGCTACGAAGGTAATGTCTACCTGCATGCCTTTCATTTTTAATAAAAATACATTACTAGCCTGTTCTTATCAGCATCTTCTGAGACACATATCACATGAATTGTACAGGCGACGGATTTTTTGAGAGAATAGTCACCAAAATGTGCTCAGATATCTCGTCTGAAAATGTTAACTTTCATTGCACTCGGGCTTATATGTGTTTTAATCCATTATCATGTTTATTATTATTATTGTATGTTTTCCATTTAAAAGCAATTAATCAGCCTGGAAACATTAAATAAGGTAAATACTTGCTTGTATGAAACGGAAACAGAAACCGGGTCATGTTAGGAGGAAATGAATTCAAACGCACCAGGAGCAAGGCTAATAATAAGCTGTCAATGTCATTTGAGGCGTAGGCCTGTTTTTTCGTACACTCTTTGGTTGTTTTGCAATTTGGGGGAAGTTTTCTAATATTAGACGCTTGTTTGTCCGCGTGTATAATGTTGTGTGATACTGTAGAGTTGCTGTATGAGAAGAGTATTTGATGAAAACGCCGCATTTCTAGAACCATCCTTGAGGAGCCGCATGCAGCACCCTTAAATCTCCCCAAAATAATCTGCTGAGCCTGTAGGCTGTGCGCCTGTGTTCAGCTGTACAGCCTCGACACAGTCAGTCCACACACTGCACAGTGTTCACTCACCTAGGCTACAGCCATAGGTGCATACATGTTGCTCTGTCTCTGTGTGACGCATACATGTTGTCAATGAGCTTTATGCATAGTAACCAAATGGCAGTATTTCATCTTACAGTATCCATTAGTGACATTTTCGTGACAGAGGTGAAAATGGCTGATGACATTCAGACCAAACTTCAGAATTACCGCACTGCTCCCTTCGATGCCAGATTTCCCAACTCGAACCAGACCAGGAACTGCTGGTCCAACTACCTGGGTAAGACTGCATGTCAAGGTCAAAGAGGTCAACTGAGAAAAGAAAAATCACAAATTGTTTTATTATACCTTTAATTAATGATGTTCTAAATTGTTAAATCAGGTCAAACATGACATTCTCAAAACTTGATACAGCTAAGGTCTTTAGATGTGTTGACCTCTGATCTCTGAGCTGGAGGTAATTCAACCTTAGATCATCTCGAGGGAAACTGATGTGACCCTGGATCAAAGCCAAGGTCTTTTTTTAATATCCATTGTTGTTTCTCTATTAATAGACTATCACCGCTGCCAAAAAGCTCTGGATGCTAAAGGAGTAGACAACGCCCCCTGTGACTGGTACAAGAGGGTCTACAAATCACTCTGTCCCTTATCCTGGGTAAATATTTATTTTTAACATTGATTTTTTTCCCAAAGACATGCTTGTTGAGTAGTAATGGCAGAATACTTTGTACTATCCCACATGTGGGCTGAGTTTATTCAGTAGGGGTCAAACAACTTTATCGTTCCTCACATTCCTTTGAGTCTGCTCGGCCCTGAGAATCAAAACATTAAGAGTATATGTCCAAAATTAGAGAATGACCCTTTAAATAAATCTCAGCTTAATACAAATTCAAGATGGTCCAGCCTATTTTGAGTTACCTTTTAAGGCAAATCCTAAGAATAAGGTATTCCACATTTTTTGAAACATCAATGGTTGGACAGCAGATATGATTACCGCTGTACCACCAAACTGACAATTTGAATTCTTGGAACATTTTAGGATACTGCTTGTGTTACTTCTTACGGTGCACAGGGACTTTAAAGGGTCAGTTCACCTTAGAATCAAAAACCAGTATTTTTCCTCTTACCTGTAGTGCTGTTTATCAATCCAGATAGTTTTGGTGGGAGTTGCAGAGTGTTGGAGATATCGGCTGTAGAGATGTCTGTCTTCTCTTGAAAATAATGGAACTAGATGGCACTCGGCTTGTGGTGCTCAAAGTGCCAATTTTTTTTCTTCTTTTTAAATCTCAACAGCAATGTCTCTTTCTAGAAATCATGACTTGGTTACTCAAGATAATCCACAGACCTTGTTGTGAGCAGTTTCATGTAGGAACTATTTTCTTTCTACCTAACTACGACCACCAACCATATCACTGCGCAGAAGAAAGTGTGCACCATCTACTCATGGATGAGAGGCTCATGCCATGTCCTCCTCAGCTGAGCTGTAACATTAGCCATCTTAGTGGTGTAAGGTGAGCTAGCAGTACATGCATGCTTCCTTCCGTGCAGTGATACTGTTGATGGATGTAGTTCAGTAGAAAGAAAATAGTTCCTGTGTGAAATTGCTCACAAGGTCTGTGGATTATTTTGAATAACTGGGTAATGAGACGTTGCTGTTGAGTTTTTCAAATGTATTTTTTGGCGCTTTGAGTACCACAAGCCAAGTGCCGTCCAGTTCCATTATATTAAAGAAGGCAAACATCTCTACGGCTGATATCTACAACACCCAGCAACTCTGATTTCCTCTGGTACATGGGGTCTTAACATGTAAATCAATGCTGAATCACATTGGGAAGAAAAATGTTGGTGCGTTCCTCTCGATGAGCTGAAACCGTCATGTCTGTTGTACTTTTAGGTTGCACCCCAGTCAGTGATGTCACAACAGGTGTTTTGCCTTTCACACTCACTGACAGAGAAACAAAAATATGGATATGACGGCTGACTCATTTTCTCACGAACCCAACCAAAAGGCTTCTGTCATTTTCTAAACGTGTGAATTCAAAAAATGACTCAAAATAAGTTTATTTCTGAAAATGTGTCCCCTTAGGTCCAGAAATGGGATGACCAGAGAGAAGAGGGAACCTTTCCGGGAAAAATCTAAGACTGCCATCTGCAAAGCTGTCGGTCTGCAACGATGTAACCTTAACAGCTAAATGTTTGTAGACGTGGTGGGAGAGCTCGTGGCTCTGCCCTTTAACTGAATAATCATTCCTTATAAATACAGTGAAATGTACAGCAGAATCTGCATTAAAGTATCTCAGGATATATTTATGTAGCCCAGCTGTCGCCTGTTTTTTTTCTATAACTGTGAGCATAAATACTTAGATGTATGGTTTTGAGAAAAATGATGGAAGATATATTTTTAAATTTTATTCATTTCAAATAAACCTACATCAAATATACATATTTAATCAAGATTAGAAAAATAATTAAATATTTCAAAACACTACATGTCACACATACAATAATAGCCACCACCCTACGGAGCAGATATACAGAGTAATGACCATCGTTGCTGTTGGACACGCTGAAATTAAATACATAAAACTGCATTTCATATACAATTACTCCCCATTGTGAGCGAGGAGTACGAATTGGTTTATACTGGGGCTCAATGAAGCAGTAAAAACTCCTCCGAACAAAAGTATCTAACATTTTAAGATGATAACAACAGCTACTGCTGAAGAGACTTTCCCATGCAACAAGTTAGTACAGTAAATATTGAATGAATGAATAGTACAACACCGACTACTAAGTATTATAGTGAAGGTAGAATCAGATAAATCCCCTTTTTAAAGATCATTCTTCTCAATCTGAGGTAACGTTAGAGTATTTGCATATTAGAAGTTGCCTGTTACTGAATCTACTCAATCTAATCTGGTATTTTTTTTTATTTCCAACCAAATTTCTAAAACTGCTTTACTGGCTTGAGAAATGTTTGCCTCCATAAAATCTACCTTATATAGCAACTTCCATAAAGGTCACTTGGATTGCAAACAAGTTTTTTTTTTCCTACCTGATGCTAAGCAGAAAAAATATACTGACCTAATTTCGTGAAGCCCAATATGTATTGAAGATTCAAGTGTGGAGTCTGAAGCTTTGTGCAGCTTCAAATTGAAATATACAAAAGTTTGACCTCTGCGCTTTTTTCCAACTACGAGTGTAACCACGTTAGCCTTCGATGTATAAATCTTTCAAAGGTGAAAAGCTGTGGAAGCACTTCCCCAAGTAAAACCATTCGGCTTTGAAATATATCAGCCAACAGATAGAAATCATTAACAGATATAAATTAGTGTCTGCATAGCATAACGATCGGTTGGTGTACTGGTGGTAGTGTTAGTCAGCTCTCAGACCCATTAGGCAAAGAGCTGATCATCTAGGCTCATCAGTGGATACAATTCATTAATAATATCTGTAGCGTTGGCCACATCCTGATGTGAGAGTGTATTCATGTGGCCTTGGAGCTTTTTTTTTTTTTTTTTTTTAAGTATTTACAAGCCACAAGCAGCATTTAAATATGCAGCACAAAAGTCACAAGTAGCAGCCACAGATATAGTGTTTAGTACTAGGCACAATAATAGGGCTGATAAAATGCAGCCTCACAGGTTTATCCTGGCACTGTGGGAGGGACAACCGGGGCAACCGTACAGTACCTGTTCAGGATAACGTGTGTCTGGGTGGGGAGAAGGGAGTGATCCAACCATAAAGTGGAGTCCTGTGTGTGTGTGTGTGTGTGTGTGTGTGTGTTTGTAAAGCCATTCTTAACTGTGCAAGCTCCGTTCTCTTCACTGTGGACCGTGTGAGCCGCTGTTACACACCACGGCTGCTTTGGGTCTTAATGTGAGGGAGGTTTTCAAAAGTCACCCACCAAAAAGTGGGTTTTTAAAGTCAGACACAGTTCCTTCTTTTCACTGGATCCACATCTGTCTGTTCATCTGTCATCGTCTGTCTGTCAGTATCTCCTCTTCCCATGTTTCCCGCCATCAGTCATGCAGGTTTTAGGCCGAAGAGCTGCATTGATGAAGAACAAATAAGCTTTAAATTACTGTAAGAATGAGGGGGTTTTTACACTTGGACTCTGAGCGGTGACTCAGCATTTTTTGCACATATGGGAACACTCCAAGAGAACTCAGACCCCTCTGAGTATGGTTTACTTCAAGTCCACGGTGCGGTTCACTTAACGTGTTGCTCTGTGAACACAAAGTGCTCCAGGTATTTAGCCCTCTAGATCACATGCGATAGCACTGGGATGCCTGAAAAGACAAACGAAGCCACGTTGACCTATAACGCTTACAAGGACGCAGGATGAGGAGTTGTTTGGTCTACAGAAGATACTGCACATCTCCAAATGTGGAATGTAGGACACATCGAACAGCATCAGTCTACAGCATGGAAACGCTAAGGGTTTCCTCCAATTTTAAATGAATCTGAAAGTGAGGGGCTTCATAACGACATTGCAGTGGCAAAGACAAACAACAAAACTACATCAATATATATTATACATAGGCTATAGTGTGAACAGAAAGAGGACTGAGGCCCCACCAGAGCTGAAGTTGACCAGAAAGAGAAGTGAGTCCTCTTTAAAATGAAGTGACAATGTGAACACAAAAAGTCCCTTTACTGTCGATCCACTTTTTGGTGCACTTTAAGAGGACCAAGTTTGGTTTGTTTTAAAAGGACTATATGTGAAAACACCCTTAAACGAACCAAACTCAGTCCTCTTTAAGTGGAGCAACAGAGAGGGACTTTTGCTCTGACGGGGCCTCACCCTTCTTTCTGTTCATACTTCACTTTCAATAAAAGTTTAATTACCAGTGTTGGGGGTAACGCCTTACAGTAACACATTACGTTGTAGCAGTAATGAAGTGATATAACGTCTTAACAACAGGATTTCAGGTAGTATTATTATATTTAAAATGTCACAGAATGCGTTACCACCTGAAACAAGCTATTGGTTTTTTTTTTCATTCATCCACACTGCTCCACTTCTGCCAGTGCGAAAAATATCCCCTGAAGGTTATTGTGTCCTGTCATGTCATTACAGACTTAATTCCAGAGGGGTGCAGGTGATCAGTACGTCTGAGTCATGCCGTACTGTGCGCAACAGTGTTTTAATTCATACATCTATGGAATCTAAAACGTATCCTGTTTTGCTTTTGCATCCTAAGGCTGCTCAAAAGCAGCAGGGAAAATAAGCTGGCCTCCAGTTTGTTTTTTCCTCGTCAGGTGATCAAAACACCTGGGTGATGCAACCCAATGTGCCTCAGCATGCTGGATGTTTTTCCATCCACATTCCCTGTGCACACCCTCCTGCTCTTGTGCATAACTCTCTCTGGTGCTGCTGTAGCTGACTGGCACACCAGGAACCAACAGCTGTATTAATATGTACTCGTCACAGTGACTTACTCTCGCGCCAATCCATTTGATGTCCTAACCTCAGCATTTGTCTCTTGTGTTTCATATTACAGGCCTACAAATATTAATCCATATCTCATAATAGATCAGACTTTGATCCTCTGCCTGTCCATCTCAGTGACCAAGGGTATCCGTTTATTTAAAAGGGTCTGGGCAATTGTTCTATATCATCGTACTATTATTAATATAAGCAGGTGATTTTAATACAAAGTGGAAAACTGAAGCGTTTCTCTGCATTTAAGTGACAGTTCCAGTTTGATTCGTTTTTCGTTCCATATCTGAAGAAGAGCAGTAGTTTCTTTGACCACCTCCCAAGGAGGTCTGAGTATGGAGGAGGTCTGAGTACGGTTCGTTTCAGAGGGCTCTGAGTTCTTCTGGTTCGTCCACACATGCACAAAAAAAACAAAGCTGACTCATTGCTCTGACTTTGTTTAGAGCGTTAAAGGGGACCAAGTGTGAAAACACCCATATATTAAAATCTGACTCATTCATTTTACTGATAGATGATTCCCATATTTATGTGCGCATACTTCCAAGTCCAGTAGTTTCCCCGACTCACCTGGATCTGCTGTCTGCTTCTTCTTGTTGTGATGGACTATCTGATTCTCATTGGTCATCTTCACATCCTGGTCCTCCACATAATTACTGCAACACAGTGAGAAAATGAACACAGCAGATACGTGTGAGCAAATGGGCTATGCTTGTAATAAACTGGGAACAGGGAACGACACAAAATGGAGGGCTGACTGATAACAAAGCTTGAAGCCGGCAGGTCCAGGCCTTGAGACCAAAAATGGAGCTGGAGATGTGACGATGGGAAGAAAAAGGGAGAGAAGGGGCATCACAAGTCAAGCGTGTGGTAAGGAGGGTGTGGAATGGCTGGGGGACATTTGAGGGCACTGGAGGAATCTTCAATAACAGAGATCGACCACAGGGAGGTGCTGACACAGGGCTTTTCACAGGCTCTGTTACTCACTGTTGGTGGTGTCTGCTGCCACGGGGGCTGAAGTGGAGAAGAGCACATCTCTGTTCAAAACAACTCACCACCTGGGTTGAATCTAACCTTCTTTGTCAGTCCATTAGTCTCTGTTTTAGAATTTAGGTTGAAAATCAAATGGCTTTGAATCTATTCACAGGTAATAACTCATCTGATTATGACTATTTGATGCTGAACTTTACATTCAATTTGCAAAATTTAGGTAAACAATGTGCAACATAACTGAAAGGTGACGTGTATGACACTTTTTTGATAAAGCTGCAGATACTTTTTTTGTTGTTGTACACCCTAGCATTAATTTTGTTAACCAAAGATATGAATAATATGATTGCCAACGACGAGTGAGACAAGACAATAATGAAACAGCAAAGATGTTATTAAACACTAACTGTGACTACGTCAGCATGCAATATTGTGGATGAAAAAGACGAGACTAAAATGGCATTTAAATGAAAAAATAAAATCTCCCTTTATTTTCGTTGACAAAAAAAGGGAAGATGAAATATTTTAGACTGTTTTCTTTTGCAATGCAGCAGTTCTCCTTTCTGTACCACACACACCAGTTTCTTGTCCTTTGCTATGTGCCATATAAGGACTTCACAAAGGACTCGGAGGAACTTACCTACTTAAATTCAAGTTAATAAACAGGGCTTGAGATAAAAAAACAAGGTGATTGGGTGATTTGGGCCTATTATTGTTACAATGAGGCTAAGAAAAAAATGCATTGCTTTATTCCAAGTATGGATGTATTCCTTAAATTGATACCCTCAGACCTGAATGTAAAAATCTAAAAAATCCAACACAATCTGAAGACTGAAAAAGACTAAAACGTCAACAGTTTTCTTTGACTAAAAATACATTAAAATATTTATGGTTGTCTTTGACTAAGGCCGAGTCTACACGTACATGGATACTTTTTGAAAGTGGATTTTTTCGTCCTTTGTTCTTTGAAAAAATCCTGTCCACATAAGCACTGACATAGGAAAATCTCTTTCCAAATGAAAACGCAAAATTAAAGCGCTTTCCAGAGCATGCCAAACCAACAGGCAGTGATAAAACCTTAACCCTAAAGCCAAGTTTAGAAGAAGAAAATAGTGGTGATCAGAACCCAGACAAAAAGGCTATTAGCAGAAGGATAACTAAGGTAGTGACCTCTGTCGAGCATTCTGACACCTTTGGTCTTCAATATAGTGGAAGAGTAACTGTACATTTATATGTAAACATGTAATAAGTCTCATTTTAAAAGTTTCATTTTCAGTGACCTAAACTGCAGTCTGCATGTGGATAAAAGACCCAAACATAATTTAGTCTACATTTTCAACTCAAACTTGACTAAAAGAAAACAGGATGAGGTTAACTAAATATGCTAAAATCCAACAGGACTAAGACTAAGAAAATGTTGACAAATTAACACTAGTACAACCAATCAGCCATGAAACCAAGTAGTCAGTCATATATCTGCAAGGTACCTGATGACGGTGTTCCTCTCACGGTGTGCGATGTAGGCATTGTCTGTGAACAGGATGGTGTGGTAGGGCACCACTGGGTCACAGGTAGGCAGAATGCCTCGTGCCACATGGCTTACACTGTCCAAGATGCCGTTATACACCAGGAGGTCGTCCACCAGCAGCTGTGCACACACAGAGACATGCAGATTTCTGCTTGATGTCCAAGTGTAAAGAAAAAGCGACAGCCCAGCCCACAGCAGACAGAGGCTTACCCCAAACTCCTTCACTCCTCTTTGTGGTGTCTTTGAGTAGTTCCACAATTTGATCATGGACACCGTCATTGGCTGATCGAAGATGATATACACACGGTTCACCTGTGAAGAAACAAGCGATGCACTTACACACGTGCTGAAAAGACTCTCCTTTGAGTGTGAATGCGCTTTCTTTCAGAGCCTCACCAGACCAGGCAGCACCGGGGCTAACCACATATGTCCTCCATCGTGGGTACTGTTGAATCCATCTATTAATTTGTCTGGAGTCCTCACATCACCGCTCACATTGTCCAGTACATTCACACTGTCTGGAAAAGCAGCAATGTCTGGTGGACATAATGTTGAGGTCCAGACACAAATTTAATACTCCTTCAACAGCTGGTATTAATTTACTGCCTTAAGCCCTGATCAGACAGAGTGGGTCTTAAAGCTTGCTGCGTCATTTTTAAATTGTTGCCAGGCAACCAAATCACCTGTCCTTATCTATCCTCATCTTATACTGCTATTTTGCTGTGAAGTAAACTCACAGATCTGTCTGGCGCTAGGCAGTTGCTCTGGCTCTGAATGAGGGCGAGAGGGAGAAGGGGAAATCACATGGAATCCCACCGGCTGAATGATGGTTGGTTCAAAGCTAAGTGAAGGATGAGTCAGGGACAGTTTGACAACCTGCTGTCAATCATCAAGCCTAAGTATGGTTGGTATAATGTAAAATGAAAATAGTCAAGGCTACAATTTGTTCCAATATGTCTTATAGCTTGCAACAGTATGCTGCACTTGTTGTCATCGCCACTACAGAAGGCCTGCCTCTCAATTCAAAACGCCGTCAACTTTTTCAACTCGAGGCTTTCAGGGTGCTCCTGCAAAAACGCAAGGTGCAAAGAGAGGAAAAATGTGAGGTGCTCAGCAACGCAAGAGGAGCGAGCTTAACACTTCAATCTCATTGAAAACAATTAGGAAAAGCCGCCGCAGTCTGCTAAAGACGTGCTCTGTCTGATGGGCCAAAGTCAGTTGTTAACTGTATGAGTCCTCTCTGAATCTAATCGAAGCAACACCGATTACGTAGCAGTTTTTAAACTGATTTTAAAATAAGTCTCAGTTTCTGTCCCACATTATCTGAGGTAAAGCCGAATCTCCAACACATACATGATGCAAACTGTGCGGTGATTATCTTTGCTAATCCAAGATTACAATGAGATATAAAGTTGTCACACCTGGAGAAGGACAGATGTTAACTGATACCCTTAATGATGAATAAGCCATTCCATTTTGAATAAGCCCTACCAGTGAGCCAGTATGCACAATACCAGAGCCTGGATTTGGCTTAACGAAGTAGAGTGCAGCCCTTGTAAATGGTATTGCTTACACCTGTGCTCTTCCTGCAGTGACACATTGAAATGTCTGCTGGGAAGAAATGTAGAGTGAATGTAAGGTGCTAGCAGAAATAAACATACATTTTTACGGGAATTTATAAAATTTTGGTGGCACTTACATGACATGAAAAGAAATTTGTAACTTAACTTGTATCAGAATTTCTACAAAAGTATAAATTAGCTACCACCTGACACCAGAGCACAGTGATCTCATGGTATCAGGGTAATATTCATACCTCTAGATGAGAGAATATTCATAAAAGTGTGATTTTAAGCTTTTAGCTATCTAAATTCAAAGGTTACGAATTTACACCACAAATTCTTAACTTTGAAAGTTTATATGGATAAATTCTAGATGGTGAAGAGAATCTAGCTTTGTGAATATAGACGCAAGAAGGCTGATGTATGAACTCATAAGAAAGGATACTGTTGTCACTGAGACTGATCTTCTCATGGTTCTGGTCATAAAATTCGAGGCCGTTGAGGCCGATGTAATACGGGTCTCCCCAGGTTGTTAACAGCTGCAGCTGAAAGATGACTGACAGGTGAAGGTCAAGGAATATATAACATGAAACCCCACGTACAGCACATATCAGACCTGGGCTGTGTCCAAGTCATTCCCTGTTTACTATAATGTCCACGTATTTATGCTCCACTGTTTTATTTGTGTCTGAATTCTTAGTTTGAACTTCATCTCCCTCAAAAATGTAAGTAAGTGGCAAATAAAGTAGTGTAAATGAAAGGGTACAATGCTTTGATGATGATTAATAAGTGTCAGATATCCCACTTTACTGCTCAGTATAGAATAAATTAACAAGTGTTTATTAAACAGGAAGATTTGAATAAGTGAGCGACGGATTGATTTTGGACACAGCCAAACAAACATCAGAACAGATCGTCCATTTGCTATGAATTAATGATGGCACACAGGCTGCCCCACTCTACCTTTTGAGAGAGTAAAAAATAATAATCATTAAAGCAGCACTGGGCTGTTAGCCAGCTGTGACTGTTACACAAAACATGGCTGCATATATGCAAATATCAAAATATCAACCCCATCTGTTACTGGTTTGAACTGACACTTCATCGACCAAACAATTAATCAGTGCATTCATCAATAATGAAGATTTGTAGCAGCCCTAATGCAGGTTGATTAATACTGCCTGAACACACAACTCCAGTCTGTTCACTTGCATATGAACAGTCTGGACAGTGAGTCAGATTTGACAGTAAACACAAAGCATGTCAGGATACAGCCACTAGGCATGATGGGAGCTTCATAGTCCATGCTGGCCTGTTCTTGTTTCTTGGAGCTCCCTCTAAATCACAGGCAAAAACATTATATATTAGGAAAAGCAGTTTTTAAACTTTGGCATGAAAATACCAGTACATGCAAATTAAAATCACAACTCCTACTTCTCCTCTGCACTCTTGTTGTCAGTGGGCGTCTGGAGGAAGTCTATGAAGAGGAGTTCCTGGGCAAAGTCAAAGTGACAGTTGCCTGGTCCTTTCCTGATCAGGAATCCCTCCGGTGGGGAGATGGCGACGTCATCCATGAACACATGGATCACCTTCACCTGAACCAAAGATGTGGAAATTGTTTTTGTTAAATGTAAAAACTTATAACTAATCCATGTACTCTGCTCCTTCACAGTAAACACTGTTAAAGCCTGAGAGAGAAGTTTCTCACCCCTCTGTACGAGTCCTCAGGGGACTTGTTGTAGTTCCAGATTCGGAGTCCAGCGATGGTCTGGGCCTTGTCGAACGTCACGTTCAAGGTGTGAGGATCTCCATAGGAGAAAGGTATCAGCCACATGTGCTGGTCATCAGTGGTAATGTTGTTGCCATTTATAAGCCTGGGCAACAAAAACAGATACTTGAAGACTCCACCAACCATAACAATGATCTGATCTAATGCCACATTTTCACCCCATTCCTCTGTTTTGTTGCTGATGCAAGAATTCAGTGAGTGATGTCGGGGGGGTAGAATCTGCAGTGGAAAACCAAATTTAAGAAAGGACCTGGTACCTAAAGTGTGTCAAGTCGAGTTAAGCACAACCATCCAGTGGAAATGAGGCCTAAAATTCTAGATTTTTCTTGAGAGCAGTGTAGGAGAAGTAAAAGCCTGTGTCCTCATAGCATTTTTTCCTCAGCGCTGGCGTCTTTTTTCAGTTGTTCCCAATGAAGAGAGAGCGTATCCCGCTACATGTGGCCAGCTAGAGAAAAAGTGCTGTGCCCAGCAACTACACCTTTTTTGTGCAGCCACTGCCAGTTCTTTTAGTTAAAAATCTCTGAACTTTTCAGAAAGGCACCGGTGACATCACTGCCACTTCTTTAACTCTGCTACTGTCTCCTGTCACAGCAGAGACAGAAAAGCTCATTTTGTGGCTGCAGGTCGGCAGGCGCACAGTGGATGTTCCTGATGAGTGTTATGCTTTCATCACTGTTTTTGACCATGTAGTCAACCCTCTGCTAATGTAGCGTTACGATCTCACTAATGTTAATGTCAAGATATTGTTGTCATAGAGAGAAACCCACACGCATGTCATCATTAACTTTTTTTATAAAGTGCTGGGACGAAGCACTTCCCAGCACCCTGCCACGGTATTTCTGCTGAAGAAAAATGCTGTGTGGACACAGAAACTCAGGGTGTAAAGCGTAAAATATGATGTGGAAATGTATATGCAGAAAGTAGACACATCATACGGTGTCAGACATACTTATCAAGCGTACGCAGGTCGTATTCGTACTCAGGCAGGTCGTTGAGGTCCGCGGGTGAAGCAGCCATCATACTGAGGTCTAAAGGTAAACTCTCTCCATCCTTCCCCACCACCTCCAATCCTGTCAGGCCCATGTAGTGCAAGTCCCCCCAAGTCAACACCAGCTCTAGTCTAAGGCCTGGAGAGCAGGGAGACAGTTACTGTAAGTATCCAAACAGCAAAAAGATACCTAATCATGTGATGACAAGATGCTGATCATCTACTTACACTTTCCAGTGTACATCCCAGGAATATGCTCCATGTTCTCCTCAGACTGGCTCACAGTGGGGTTGAGGTGAAGTTTCAACTGAGACAACACATTAAAAGCATAATTGTGTTACTGTTGCTGGTGTGATACCTAATTTACACGTGGTGCCCGTTATATTGTCAACAAAGTGGGAATGCTGAACACTACTGGCTGCTACACAATGTTTGTCTTTGTTTATTTATCACAGTCACAGCTGAGAATAAGGTGCCCAATTTTACAAGCATTTGACTTCAACATTTAGCACCACCGAAGTTGATAAAAAAAGCACACTTCTTCTATGACAACCTGTATCCACAGAACTGTACTTACGTTGAGGTCTTCCTCTCGGAAGCCAGCCTGTGTGAAGGGTCTTTCCTCTCCCTCTCCATCAGCGGTGCGTGGTCTTTGCAACTCCTCCTCAGCCACCAGGCTCTCGGGACCCTCACCTTCACTGAGGAAGGTTTCATCATAACGAGACATGGCCTCCAGGATCTCATCATCAGTGGTGAACAGGATAGTGTCACCAAATTGGTCCAAATCTGAAGAGACAGCGAGGGAGAAAAAAAAGGAAAAGTTGATCAAAAGTAAGACATAAATCAGCATAAAGTCTTGTGACGCTGTTCTGTTCAGCTACCTCCTGACAGAGTCCCAGAGGCTTTGGCAATCTCGCCCCTGAAGATGCATCTTCCATCAAGCAGCATTTCCACCTCCTTCACCCCTCGGAAGGAGTGAATGCGTGACTTGTTGTAGTTCCACACACGGATCATGGCCACCTGGTTAGGAGCTCCAAAGTCCAGGAAGATGGTGTGGTTACGACCTGGGGTGAATGGTGCTAGCCAAAGATGCATGTCATCCTGGGTACGATTAACGCCATCGATCAAGTTAGTGACCACACGTGGATCTTTGCCGTATGCAGGGAGAATGTTGATGTCTGGAGGGTCGGCACGGATGTGAGCAGGTCGTAGGGGTTCTCCACTGGAGCTGAACACCTCAAGGCCGTTGAGGCCGACATAGTGGCGATCACCCCAGGTGGACAGGATGTTGATGATCAGCCTTTGGCCCTGCGGCAGCACGGGGATCTCAAATTCGTCCTCCCGCTCCGTAGATGGATCATCATCAGGGCCTTCACATAGTGCACCCTGAGTGGTGAAGGAGGAATGGGGGCTCCTGGGTGCTGTGGAGGGATTGACTGGGACTGAGGGTGGACCACGGCCCTGGCGCTGGAGGAACTCATCAAAGATGTCACCTTCGAAGCCCATGTTGGAGATGCGTCCACGTTGGCATTGGTTGAACTTCGTGAGAGAGTCCCAGGACTCCCTGAGGGTGTCATCCTGTTGGCTGTGCAGCTGCGCCATAGAGCTGCACTGCCTCCTGCTCATGTTCACCAATGACATTGGCTCCTCTGGAAAGTACACAAGGATTACATATTAATCGATAACAAGCCACAAGAAGTAAGATAATCATACCATACACTAAACATCTCATCTGATCCAGATATAAATTTAACAAGAAAAGCGCACTCGGTAGAGCGCAGATCTCTGCCAGGTGTGTCTGGTGGGGGGAACAGTCTGTGTGTCCAGTGTGTATTCATTATAGTATTGAAACAAAGAAGAGTTGAATCTCATTCAGTGGTACCTCCCAGCTTCCCTACAGTCAAGATAGCATCTTAAATAACAAATAACTGTGACTTATTCATCTCATATTGCTTTGGTGAATCATAACCTGCAGGGTATGAAATTAATCTACAGGTGCTCTAGTTCCAAATGAGATCTAATTATTCTATGAATGTCTGCTTTTGAGCCTTGAAAAATGCCAAAATGTGGTCTGCAATAGAGTAGGTAAGGCGTGTTTAAAGCCTAGCTGATAACTGGAAATGCCTTTTTCTATGTGATTTTTGTTGATCACTTGCAGCCTGTACCACTCAGTTAAGAGGAGTGAGGAGCCAGCAGTCAGTCATTGTATAAAATAGAGCGGTCAGTAAAACAGTTTTTTTGAAACCACAAGAGATCCTTCAGCATGTAGTCTTAAATGTGCACAAAAAATATTAAGTTGATAGGTCCAGTAGTATGTGAGATTAGCTGTGGAAAGACAGACAGATGTACACACAGAGTTTTCTTCAAATTTCAATGAAAACGTTTTTTGATCAGTTAAAGAATTAAAAGATGACAAAAGTAAATCAGCAGCAGAAAGTATGACTCATTAAACAGCACAAAGGCCAGGACAATAAGCATGGCTTCTACGGAAGGTGCAGTGTAAAAGCTTTCATTTTTCAACTAGTCCAATCACAGGTATCACAAAGTGTTGCATCCAAATTTCTCCAAATGCATGCTCTATGACAGGGGCGTAAAATATATGGCTCATGGGCCAGAACAGGCCCACCAAAGGGTCCAATCTGGCCTGCTGGATGACTCTGCACAACTAATATTGATGCACTTGTGAGGGCAAAGATTGCCAAGTTTCAGGAGCAAGTTACACAGTAAGTCATGTCAAATGCTGCTTCAGATACTTTTCACCCTGACCAGAATACAGTTCTCTAAAAAATACATATTGTGGTCATATTTCTATCTTAACATAGTACTGGTAGAAGCCTATTACTAAGGCACTGTCAAAATGTTTGATTTGTAAATGGTCTGTAAGGCAGGGAATAAGTTGACCTGCTTTCTCAGTAGCTTTCACTTTACTTTGGTGTTGTGATGCCAGCATTACTACACAGACGTGGAAATGTACGCACATGAGAGTAGAAGACTCACTGAATGTGGAAAAACAGACATTGTCGAAACTGCACTTATTTTTGTTAAGATGCCCCAGGCTGTTCATCATCTGATTTGTAAATGGATGAATGCTTTCAGAATGTACTTGTGCTTCTTTACAGTAAAAGAAAGGGAGACATTTGGAGCTGTTGTTATTTATCGCCTATTCTGCAATGGTTTTACAGGTCCGGCCCAATTGAGATCAAATTGGCCTGTATGTTGCCCATGAACTAAGATGAGTTTGACACCCCTGCTCTTTGTGAAGACTGTCGCAAAACAAATTAACATCTAAAAATGACTTAACAAGGAACACATTAAATAGGGAGCCAGTGATGAGGCAGAGGAACACGATGCTGATAGTAAAGCACTGAAGAAAAATAAACAATGAATAAAAAATGCAAAACCTTTAGCTAATGGTTATTTGGGTGCGCAATACCCAACATAATGTTTGATTAGTTTTTCTTATTATTCTTTGTTTGGGATTAATAAATAGATTTAAATAATAAATAAACTGTCATTTTAAACAATTATTAATATGAATGCAGATATGTGATAACTTCCAAGCAACCAAATTGTTATCAATAGGTGAACTGCAGCACAAAGTAAAGCACAAGGGTGAAATAATCACATATAAAGGTGTCCCTTTATGTTTATCATATCTTTAAACATTCCTACCTGTGTTTGACAGCACAGCAGCTCTGAGTTGCTGCTCCTCTTTCTGCCTGGCAGTGACAGCAGTGTTTCGAAATGAGCTCCTGCGTCCACTGATGGGCCGGTCTGACTTTTGCTCGGTGAGCTCCTCCAGCAGGTCGCAGCTCAGGTCCAAAGAATCTGCCTTCCACTGACTCCCGTTCACTGTCCTCTCCATCCCCCGACACACTCGGCCTGGGTTACATGGCAGCTCCGGGAGCATTGAAGAGGATGAGGCTGATGGAGATCTGGGCTCTGCAGAGTGCTGAGGCACCAGCCAGCGGGGCCTCTCCCTGATGGCCTCGCAGCCCTCTGGAGCTCCCCTGCTCAGCGGCTGCAGCCACTGGGGGGCCACGCGAGAGGAGGACGGCTGGGTTGTGACCGTCTGCTCCGTGGGTGCAGGCTGCTCCACCTGCTGCCTGAGAGAGAGGGGCTCCTCTGAGGAAGACAGGTCGAAAGAGTTTCTTTGTGTGGAGGAGCGACGGGCAGAGGATGAAACCCCCACTGATGATGGAGTGATGGGTGGTAGCAGTGTGTGCGCTTTCTCCTGCATGTCTATCATAGCCTGGCCTGCATCTGATGGCTGCGGATTCCAACTGTGGTGGTGCTGGGTGCTGCCGCCCTCCACACCCTTCCTGTCCTCATGGCGCTGGGGGCTGACACCCCGTAGATTGTGTCCTGAAGACACAGGGCTGGAAAACAAGGAGTCTGACACCTGGAAATCCTGGAGGTCGATCGCGGTGCTGTAGTCAAAGACCTGGTTGCCGCAGCCCTTCTCCAGCTCACCCTCAAACACCAATGTGCTGTTAAGGTACAGCTTTATATGCCGTGCACCAATGTCAAGATCCTAAAAAAAAGAAACAGAACTTCAGTTTACCTGAATATACACTCAGGTTCTACTGTTAATATACCAAATGACTTTTGGCAAAATACTAACACATTAAAACTTGAGGATTTGGGTTCAAAATGTATGACAGGACAATATTGAGCATTTCATATTATATAATATTTTGAGAGCATTTCAATTATAATTTAAGCAAAACAATGCAACCTGAAAATCTAAAAGCCTAAAACCTCCAAAAGTATAGCACTTGAGAAATTCTGTACATTCACTATTTATTCATGTACCTCTATCTCATATGCAGAGTAGAAGCTCTCCAAGCTAGCAGTAATTAGCACTCTCACAGATACAAAGTCATGGCTGCCATGAAGAAATGGCTAAAGCCCAACTAAAATCTGTTTGATCCCCTCGACAGTAAACTACTACAAACCCTGGCTGACCTACAATCTACTCCCCACCGGCAGCTCCTTACCTTCCAAGTTCAAGACATCAAGTAACTCTAGATAGTTGTAGTAGCACAGAGAGAGATACGATGGGGTCTTTATACCCCTCTATGAACAGCAGTGAGGATGAGAGGCAGAAGCCCACGTTTCCACTAACACTAATCCTCTGGGGCTAATCTCTCACTGTTCCACATTTGGACAGTCTGACTGGCAGCTCGGCCAGCCAATGCTAGAAGATTACCACTCCGCTGACGTAACCACGCCGATACAGTCGCCCGTATTACAGTGACAACACACAAGCGTGTTAGACTTATGAGCTCCGGTGCTTCAGACAGCGGAATGAATAATCTCTGAACTCAAGAGGGGGATAAATCAAAAGATTTGTGTAGCGGATTGCACTTGTGTTGAACAAATGTTATCTAACAATTCCACTTCTTATAAACTGTCATGACACATGAGCAAAAATAAAAAGCACATACATTGAGGCTTCTGTTGTAGTTCCATATTTTGATGCGAGATATTCCAAAGTCTGGGGAGCGCTCCGTGTTTCTGATGATGAAGTAGAGCTGGATGGGAGGGTGGAATGGACACGTCCACATGTGACGCTCTTTGGTGGTCTGTCAACCGGAGAGAAAAGACAAAAATCAGCAAATACTTTGTCCATGTAAAATAGTGAGGATAATTCACCCATGTCTAGAGTGACCTTAAAATATACTATGCAGGATTTACCTAAAAAAATGTACAGACTCTTACAGAAGTAATCCCTCTGAATCATCACTTGTGACCCACTAGAACTGTGTGGCAGTGTAACTTTTTATGGCTTGCCTGGGCAGGACTTTTACAGGTATTTGCAGCTCTGTGATTATTTCTGTAAAAAGGTAAAAGGTACTAATCCAAGGGAACCACCAACGGTCATTCATGTATTTATTGATTGATAACTGAGGAAGTAATAAAGGTTTAATCAGCAAGTTATACCATGGCATCTCATCACTCAATAGGACACTACAGACTGTGTGAAACAACGAAGGGAAAAAGAGCTGGGCATTGAAATGACTGAGGACATGTGGCTGAATGCCTGAGAAATACAGTCAACCTCCACTAACTCCCGGACCTGGAGAGACTTCCGCTGGAAAAACCTGATTTGCTTTTTCATCACGCCCAAACAGAAGTCTAAACAAACTAGCACCCAGCTATGCTGCTGGAGGGAATGTGGAGAGATCATGGTTGACCATGCCCATATTTTCTGGTCTTGTCCTTTTATTCAGACTTTCTGGAAGCAAGTAGCAACAATTCATAAAAAGGCCATAAAAAGGCAAGCCCACTGCTAACCTCTTTATTAATATTGTTAAACACTAAAACCTTCTGGAACAGATGACATACTCTATACGACTTCAGAAATAATTCTGAGAAAAAAGGGAGAGAAAATGGTGTGCCTATTTAGCCAATGAGACAGATGTTACATGATTATTGTATGTATCATATATGAAACCTTACTTTAAATTAGGAAAATTAGTCTTGACTCTGTAAACATGACCCATGACCTCATATCTGTCTTTTTTTCTGTGCACTGTTTTTCTTTTTTCTTTTCCTTCTTTCCTAAATGTGAAATGTTCATAAATAAAAAGTATATATGAAAAAAAAAAGATGGCTAGTGTTAGTCTGAAAGAAAAAAATAGAGAGATACAGCCATGCATGTTCGAGCCTTTGTCAAATCCAGACTCAGATGAGACTCAGAAATTCGGCAACTAGCAAACATATCAGAATGGCAAGTATAGTTAGCATCCTTTATTAGTTTATGTTGTTTGTGAGCTTGTTAGCTTGTAACTGGCAGTGGTTGACATAGCATTAATGGTTGTGAAACTCACAATAATATCTGCTACGATGGTTTCAGATTTTTTTGCCAGTGTTGTGTTAAAGTCTGTTTCCCTGTCGATATGTGTTCCCCATGTTAGACAGCGACTGGCTTTCAAATTTTCGATGTACCAAACTAGCTTGCCCGTGGTACCTTTGAATCTCGGATTTAAGGGAACTGCACAGACATCTCCCCCTCAGTAGAGGAATGTGAAGACACCTCTCTCCTTACAAACTTTGCACAGATACAAGTCAGTACAATTTTAATTCAACATTTTAAGGGACATATACATTAGTAAAACACATTTTAAAGTGGAGGGGGGCTTAGGTATTCAAGCTTCAGAGCCTTGATACTTTGCATGCTTTTTACTGTCACGGCCTACTAGGACAATAAAATAGAACAGAGCCATAAATAATGTGTGTGCTTCTCCTGCTATGAAAAGTAAAGACATCTGCTGTGGAAAAGGGTTGACTGTACTTTTAATTCCACCCAAAGGTAATTTGCAGCTGTGATAACGATTAAAAAAATGACCAGAGCCTCACCTTCACCTTTCCGTTGACAAGTGCCCCCAGATTCCCGGGGTAGTCAGCGTTCCTGATGTCCAGGTCATGAGGAGACACGTACAGCTTCTTGTTTCTAAGGCAGAAGAACTGCAACTCAGTCAGCCCGACCTGCAAAGCGTTCCCCCAGTTTGACAGGATCTCCATGGTAACATACAATGCAGGGGTGACCTCTGCCGAGGACAGCCTTCTCTGCAATGAAAGCACAGAACATTTCGCAAGCGCTTCGGTACACTTATGTCTCTATCACACCCAGCAGCATTGGGATTATTCATTCTGAACTGTGAGACAGTGTGACTGACTCACCGGCTGTTTGCTGTAGTCTGTTTTGACACTTTGAGGAATGTTGTAGCTGGGTCCTGCTTCAAGTTTCTCCAAGGCTTTCAGCAGTTTGTGTTGTTGCCTGAACAGAAGGATGACATCCTCAGCACTGCTGCTTAGGCTAAGGTGCCTGTCCTCCATATTAATGGTGAGGAATGGCTGAGCGCTGTGGTGTCTATGCCAATAAATAACTCCTCAAGGTCAGAGGGTGTACACACCATAAATTTCTATTTGTATTAGTTTCTACAGAACACCATAATGTTTGTTCTAACACTAAAGGATGTACATGATTACCATGAGTACTCTGTGTCCTTATATCCCTCATAATGTGTACAAAGTATCTGTGTATCTAGGTGCCATATTCTATGAGCATACCCAGGGCCCATAAGCGTGATTCTTTGCATGGCCACAGTGACACCGTTCTCATCCTTGTCGTGGCTGTTGTGGCGCACTAAGCCATTCATCACCTGGTGTCCCCTGCCCTGGATGAAGAGGAAGCAAGATAGAAGAGTCAGAGGTACATAAGCTTTAAGGGCAAAGTTTACATGTAAGCAAACCCCAGAAGAGCTTTCACTGTATTAAAATCACACGCAGTACATGTTCACAATGAAAAATATCAGGTCATAATAGTGTTGATAGTCTAGATCAGCATAACTAGAATTACAGCCTCACCATTGTATGCCTCCGTGAACCACTCACATTGCACTTAAGAGTTTATATCTATGTCTGTGGAAACATAAATGCTTCACACACATCTCCCCCTCAAGGTGGGTACCCAAGATTAGAGTGACCAATATCTGACCTCTTCCGTCCCTGAGTTATGACGTTGAATAATTGCAAGAAAAGTGTTTTTGCATAACATTATGATGTCACAGTGAAGCTAACCTTTGTCCTTTTGGATATATAACGTCATTATTTCATTTTTATATTCTATTAGTGTGTGAAATTTTGTCATAATTAGCGCATTAATTCGAGTTATTCATGTTTCGTAAGGTCACAGTGACCTTGACCTTCGATCTTTGACCATCAAATTCTATTCAGTTTATTGTTGAGTCCAAGTGGACATTTGTACCAAATCTGAGAGACTCCCTCAAAGCTCTCCCTCAGATATTGCGTTTATGAGAATAAAACGGATGGGAGGTCATACTGACCTTGACCTTTGACCACTAAAATGTAATCAGTTTATCATTAAATGCAAATGAACGTTTGTGCCAAGTTTGAAAAAATTCCCTTAAGGTGTTCTTGAAATATCGCATTCACAAGAGTGGGGCAGATGGATAGACGGATGGACAGGCAGACAATCCAAAAACATAATGCCTCTCGTCATGGCTATGGCCTGTGTGGACGCATGAAACAACTCTTAACAGTAAAAGAAAAGGTGGCCTAAATAGAGTAGAGGTAGGACAGACTGACCGTGTTTCGGCTAAAGAGCTCAGGACTCTGCAGCGGGTCGTTCTCTCTCTGGATGGCCTGGCGCACACTGCATGCCATCTCCTCCGGGTCTCGCTCCTCAAAAGAAGCCTTCCTGGCTGCTGACAGAGGCCTCCCCACCTGACTCCTTGGCCCTGAAGCAAGAAGCACAAATCTTTTAAAGAGCAGCCATGCACAATGCTATCTAACAGATCTATCTGCAGAAATGTTTTCTCCTCATGTTTTTATTTCACAAGAGTGAACAATAATCAGCAACCACCAATGGGTGAACATAAAAACAACAACAGCATACTGAGTATCATCGTGAGCCCCATCCCCTCCCTCACCCCCAGAGACACATTTTTTTAAAAGGGCTCTAAAAAGGGAGTCATTCCAAAACGGAAAATTTGCAATTTGGATACTTTAAATTTCAAAGCTTGTTAATCATGAACTGATTTAAAAATGTTGAAAGACTTACTCTGACTATTCCAGCTGTCTTTGGAAGGTGGTCTATCTAATGTTTTGCTTTTCACCAACATAGGCTTGGTAGGTATAAAGGCGTCAGTGTTTTCTTTCCTTTTTGCAGACAGAGAGCGTTCAATCTTACGACCTGGAACACACATTAGGAAGATATTGTGAGTTTAAAGGTATAACAGGGTTGTTGGCTGGCTAACACAACACTTGAGCTGTGCACAGACAGCTAATGTAGTTGCCTATTCTCCCCATGTGTACAGGTCAATGCTGATGAAGCAGATAGGGATATGAAACCACTCTGGGCAATTAAGACTCACCCTAAAAATCAATATCAAATTTACATATCAAAGTGGATGATGAAAGCCTACCTTTAGGTGAGGGTCCAAAGTCCAGGACAATGAGGTTTGTTGAGTCGAAATGGCTATGGGAGCCGCTGGGCCGAGGGTTGGAGGAGGACTTGGAGGACGAGAGAGGCAGCCCCAGTTCATCCAGACTCTCAGTGCTCTCCTCCCTCTCGATCTGCTCCTCCACCCACTCCTCATCCGACTCCTCCCCTGCTGAGTCGCGGCTGCTTCGCCGCATGCTAACCTCCAGGCTGCGACGCAGAACCTGGTTTACAAAGGTCAGCGTTTATGTATGCATCCATGCACGCGGTCATCAGTGTAAGGACTCACAGGCAGAGACGCACACACATGCACGCTGACAGTTTAAGCACTGCCTTGATTTGTGTGACGACCACTGAAAAACCATCATAAATTAACACCCAGGAGCACGAAACAAATTCAGATGATTCACTACATCTCATGCCATCTTGACAAGATGAAACAAGACAGTGTGCATATTTCTTTTTCTGCTCACCTTCACTTCTTCAAGGTTGAGAAGGACCTTCTCATTGTGCTCCTGATTTGCTTGGTTTCCTTGGCTTTCATGCCTAGAGCTGAAGGAGCGCGACACCTTGCAGGTGGCCCTTGGGGAGCAGGGACTATGAGGCGAGCGCGGACTGGAGCTCTGTATGAAACATGGTGATTGGATTAAGGGGGAAATGGCAGAGATGGAGAGATGCTAAGTAGTACAGACAGCTGCATCTGACACATAGCCCCTCCCCTAAAAAAACACCCACACCCACACACACAGACACACAGGCTTAGTAGGCATTGTCATGTCTTCACTCTACCTCCATGTCTATGCTTTCATAGGGCTCAAAATCCTCAGAGTAGCGCTTTTCTGGGGAGATGTACAAACTTGTTCCTTCCTCTGTTCGAATTCTGACAGAATCCTGCACACATGACATAAGAGGACATTTTTAATATGTGCAATATCACAGGAAAATGTTTATTTTTAATGCACCACAATCAAAGATTAATATATTAAGAAGCCTCTACCTTGACCCATTCTTTCCTCTGGACCTTTCCTGGGGCAGTGTGGCTCCTCTTCCTGTAGGTTTGCTCTAGATTATCTTCGGTAAACTGGTGGGCGCTTCGACAGACATCTGCCGCTGATTAACAGCACAGAAAGGAACATGAGCAGCTTGCAGCAGACTATTGCCTCAGAGGAGAAGGAACACACAGTCACATACGCAGATGGTCCACAACACATAAAGGGAAGAACGGAAAACTGGCTGCCAGCTACAACTGTCACTATCATTTATTCACTGGGACTGGGCATGAGATCATACCATGCAAACTACCAGCTGAGGAGTGGTGGCTATTAGCTTGTGCTCCATATGGTCTGAAGATGACAGAAGCAACAAAAAATATGTGTATTAGGAGTATGAGGTGGCGCCTTCCGTTCAGTGTATGAATGACTGAATACTCGAGAACAATGTTTTACTCCCTGCACAACAGAGGTAAAAAAATAATGAGGTCTTACATAAGACTTTTTGCTTCTGAGTGTCTGTAGGTTTATTTTTGTCCGGCAGCAGCATACCTGCTGTACGTGCAGGCCTCCAAGCAGGTGGGGAGGCAACACACTTGTGGCTGGACCTCTTGGGCTGCTTCCTATTGGCTTCAGCATTGGCTCCGTTAAGATAAATGGAAAAACCTTGCTCAAGCTTTTCCAACTCAATTTCCCTGGGGTCTTTGACTTTAAGGCGCTTTAGGATCCTGAGAAGCAAAGAAAACTGGTGACTACCTCTACAATTGTGCATAAAAATCTTGTACTGTAGTGTATCAACTGGTTGAGATGGCTAAGAGCAAGATGCAGGACACATTTTCAAGCTCTTCTGACCTCCACTCTTCAACATTTCACACACTAATTTAGTGTATCTCAAAGCAAGGAACCAATCAGTGCTCCTATTAGGCAGCACTGAAAGTCGTGGAGGGGTTGTGTATCACCTCTGTGAAATCTAATCCTATCTTTCCCCAGCAGCCTGTGCTCACACTTCACCTGTTTTTGTGCTGGAGGGCGATTAAATATTCATCCAGAGTGTCGTCCACAGTAGAGGCCAGCTTCTCTCCTTGGCACGTCTCTCTCTCCTTAAAGAAACCCCCCCCCCGACACACACACACACACGCACACGATGCAGAGTCAGAAAAGCCTACATCAGCTATTTGAGGGACACAGACTGTCACTATATACCTCATTGTTGCACAAGTACTGACAATCACAGACTACGATAATTATCCACTCTATTCTGTACATCACAAAATTTAGGCAAACAACTTGCTCCTTCAGTCTTGAGTAAACAAAGCATCAATACAGCACATGCAGTGTGTCACAATGTCTTCTGCACATGGTAAATAGACAAAACATTTCTGTTTGCAATGTGGTAGGGTCTAGTGCAGTAACTAATGATTATTTTTGCCCACTGTTTTCTCGGTTAATTGTTCAGTCAATAAAATGTCAGAAAAAAGCGAAAAATATCCTGTGTAATTTTCCAGAGCCCAAGGTCACGTCATAAAAAGTATGTTTTGTCCGATCAACAGCCCAAAAATCCCAAGCTATTGAGTTTATTATCATGTATGACAAAGAAAAGCATCAAATTGTCACATTTAAGAAGCGTGAAACCAGCAAATGTTTAGCATTTTGCTTAAAAAATTACTAAAACAATTACTCAATTATCAAAATAGTAGGCAATTTGAATAATTGATTAATCAGTAAATTGTTGCAGCTCTAGTTGGGTCTTCAGTGCAAATGTGCCCATTCAATCATCTTATAGTACAAGGGTGGTGCTACAACCAAAACACATTCAGTCAGTGTCAGTCCTGAGGTTACAAATGATGCGTCAAAAATATTTTTTGTGGGCCCTGAATAAGAACTATCACTTTAACACCATTGCAGACCTTAACATTGGTGGAGTCCAGGTGCATCCATCTGTAAACAGTCTAATATTTTTCACACTAACTCTGCTGAATAATACACCATTTGTCTCATGATGATTTCAGCGCTAACTGAAAAAGACAGTTTGTGTGTGGACATGCTACGATGATAATGATTTTGGGATCATGGCAATATCTAGTTAAAGGGACAGCTCACCCCACAATCAAAAATACATATTTTTCCCTTCACCTGTAGTGATATTTATCAATCTAGATTCCTTTAGGATGAGTTGCTGAGTGTTGGAGATGGCGGTAGAGATGTCTGACTTCTCTTTTGTATAATATAACTAGATGCAAGTAGAATTCCTTTTGTACGGTGATACACTTGGTGGGTGTAGTTTAGTGGAGGGAAGATAGTTCCTACATGAAACTGCTCACAACAAGGTCTGTGGATTATCACGAGTAACCAGGTCATGATTTCTGGAAAGAGACACTGCTGTTGAGCTATTCAAATGTACTTTTTGGCTTGGGAGTGCCATCTAAATCAATCTAAATCAAATCAAATCAATTTTATTTATATAGCACATTTAAAAACATCTGGAGTTGACCATAGTGCTGTACAAATCAAGTTTCTGTTAAATCTAGTTGTATTGTATTTGAGAGAGGGCAGACAGCTCTACAGCCGATAACTCAAAACAGTCTAGATTGGTAAATAGCACAACAGGTGAGATGAAAAATATGTATTTTTGGTTTTGGGGTGAACTGTCTCTTTTTTTCCACAGGCATGCAGACTTTCAATTTTGAGATGAGGTGGTGAATAGTGATCAAAGCAAAAGGGCCTGGCACTGCTGAAAATATGCACACACTGAGGGGAAACTACTGACTCAGCATGGGCTGAGATCCCTGTGGAGTAACTCCAACACTTTTATGAATCCATGCCATGTCAAATTCATGCTCATCTTCAAAGGGTGGTGCTGCCCTGTTCTCACTAGGTGTGAGCACAACAGTGGTTACAGAGTGACTGGAACATGAGCTATTACATCTCGCAATAATGTGTCCATGCATAATACATTGAGCAGAGCCCTTTCAAAGAAACTAACACTGACATGACATGTCACAAATCTATGGTGTGCGCTGTCACTTACAATGCCATGAACAACTGTACATTCAAATCCTTGTTTGACAGGATTATTTATTTGAAAAAACACATCTATCACATGAACTTCTATCCCAAAGTGAGGGTCCAGCAGAGGGGTCTCCAATCCACACAATATGAATTTTGTTCAGACATCGGTGGACTCAATTTAAATTAAATTCTCCTCATTAAAACATCATGTATCTGCCTGCTTTAGTACTAAAATGCTGGCCCTGACCCTCCCCTAGTGGCAAATGAGAAAGATAACGTGTCTTGGAAGGAGCATCAATTGTCTGCATAACACGGTCACCTAAAGCTCATGCCATTCATTTATTTCAAATCATCATGCAAGACAAGCAGAGAAATCACAAAGCCCTTACTTAATCTCTACAAGTCAACTAAGCATCTGTCAATGTCAGGAGCAGAGGAGAAGCCAAGAGGATTGAAGGAAGAACAGAGAGTACTTGTTAGTGACAGCACAGAGAAACAGAGAGGCTGTAAAATATGACATGCATCTTTGCGATCAATGCCATGAAAACTGAACAGCTTCTTCACAGTGTCTCATGTCGAGTTAAAATGACAGATGATGTGAAGTTGAATCTGACAGAGCAGATGTGCCGTTACATAAAACGATCTTACCTCGTTATCCATTGTGTGGCTGCAGATGATGCTGATCACATAACCCTATCCCATATTTAGGAGAGGGCCGATGATTCTCCACAAACACCATTGAAATCTGGGTTGTGTTTGATTACAACTGCAGGAGGGGGAACACAGATGAGAACCCCAAGGTTACCTGTGACATGAAACCTAAATTACACTGAATGTAGTTGGTTGAAAATGTCGCCCCACCCTGTGTACGATTCAGCTGGACACAAACATAATATCCGCTGTTTCCAAGCCAAACGTTACCCGTGTTATCATAACCGGGATTTCGCCAAAGATAACGTTACGTTAATCTGACTACCCGCGCGAGGAGCTGACAGATGTGTTAACGTTTGCCAACTATATTGATTTATAAGGCATTAAACACGGAAGATACTTCTGACTGTGTTAACAAAACACGGCGAGGTAACGTTTTTTTGCCACTTAACATTACCATGACGGGTTAACGGTTAACTCTTGTCCTGCGGTTAGCGGCATAAACATGTTAGCTAGCAGCCCAACAACTCAGTTAGCATCGACGCTAACAACAAACACAAGCTAGCTAGTTAGCATTAGCATCTATTTGGTTAACATTCACTGACACAAAACAAGCTTTTGCTCTCTTATTATCGTTCATACTTTACTCTTCTTCTAAATATTACAAAGCTACTTACAGTCCCCGTGAAAAGGTACTTTGTTAGCCATTAGCTTTGAAACTAACGGGCTTCTCTGTGTTTTCTCATGTGCCCAGTGTGTAGTGTTGGTTGGTAACCAGCTGTCCACCAATGGTGAGAGCCGCATCAGTGTCAGACACGCCCCCAACCTGTCCTCTCTCTTCCTGCTGCTGCTCTCACATCCAGACAAGCCTCCACAAAACCCTAGGCTACAAAAACCACACTGCTGGAGCTCTGAAGACTATGGTATGCAAGTATGTCACCTGCATCAGCATTGCATTAGAACAGAAAGGCATTAGGGAGATCCTTAAAGTAAAACCACACACATGTCCATGGTCAACAGTCAAAAGTTCAACACTGTTTTTATTTATTATAAATCAATACATTTTATATAAAAAAAAAGGGAAAAAAGGGGGTCTGAAATAAAACCATTATAGATGTAAACCAAACAGATCAGGCCACCCTCTTACCACATTGGACCCATACCACAGACTCTTGATTAGCCAGTCTAGTTAACGCTCATTCACTCATCCCAAAAACACCCTGGGCTATACTTAAGATCGATCTACAGCTTGGAGAAAAAAAAAATGGGAGAAAAAAATGTGGTTGACATCAATCTCTCTGCAAAGCGTTGCAAGTATAGCGACTAAGCATGCCATTGGTTCTTGTGCAATCCATTACAACCATCACCAGCAGCACTCGACATTATTTGTGAAGTGCGCACACTTTTTTTTTTTTGATAGCAGTTCAAGGATGTGAAGACTCTTAAAAACCCTGCAGGTAAACAATATAAGCTTTATGAAGCGCCCAGTGTAACGGTCCTGAATGTAACGCAGGTTTAGGCACCGTTGATTGAGAAATGACCAAGACCTTGATGTAGCCGATTTGTTGTGTTACAGACTTCCTAAAATGAGATCAACGAGGCATCTTGAGAAAGAAAGCCAGCATCATTGTGTTGTACACACTTAACTGCTTCTTGAAAATAGGTGGACATCAAAATGATAGGTGGATGCTCGGTGTCAAAAAGGGAAGCACAGCCAGCTGCTTAAACAAGCTAAGCCGCTCACTGCACTAGTAGCACTCAAAAACACTCAACACAGAAGAGAGGGTGGGTATGTTACCATGGAAACCAACTTGGGGGTTTTAAAATGGATATTACAACTTTGTATTATCTTTAAAAAACAAAATGCCCTTGTGACAGAATTGTAATCCGTTACTGTTTGCCGTGTAAATTGCAGGCCCACAGTTGTGAGGGCAACACAAGTGCAACTGATTCATCCTCACAGCACTGCAAGATAAAAGCATACGACCTAACTAGATTAGTCCAGTCAAGATGATTTCACTGACCCTTATTGTAAATCTCATGTTTTGATGATAAGAAATTTTTTGTGGACATGTTGCCAAATTTCCCTTCTTCTTTATTAATAACTATTTCCTTACACAAAACATCAGCAGTGTTACCAGGTCAAAATGAACTGTCTATATGATAATTGTGGGAAAAGGTTATGGCTTTCTGTTGCCTGTTTTTTAAAACCAAGCTTTTACTGATCTAACTCTGCTGGGCTATGGTAGGTAGGTGGGGGTTAAAATGGACCACATGTCCAATTACTAAAAACACACATGGGAGCAAGGGAAAAAAGTAAAACAATAACTTAAATAGAAGTGCTTAAAACATAACAGTTCGTAGAGCCCTTTCGAAAACCAAAAAAATGAGGGTGCAACGCAGGAATCCCACCCCGACAAAAAAGGAGAGCGAAATGAATAGCTGTAATGATAATACTAATATTCATCCAATGATTCACAGATGTACAGTTCAGATGTAGATCACATCCTTCTCTCCCTTACAAATATTTCTTGATTCCGGGTCAGTGGCCCCCCCACGTCTGTGAGCCGCGGCTTCCCTCTGTTTCAAGTCTATCTGTGGTGGGAGAACACTCTGTCTCAGTACACATCCCCTCTTCCTCCTTCGCCATCAGTGCCTGTTCCTCCTCTTTTTTCCTGCGCTCCAACTCCCACTCCACAAAGGTGTCAAAGAGGCTGGGCCAGGCCTCGTCCTCGCTGTAGTTGCTCAGGTCGGGCCCGATAGCCTGGGTGAAGTTGAGGAACATGTTCCACGTGTCCCTTGAGATGCCCCGAATACTTGAGGGGTTCTCTGCTAGGAATTCCAGCCAGTGATCGAGGATGGCAGGCGAGTCCTGGGTGAACACCAGGCGCCACAGGGCGATGGCGATTTCGCGCTGCAGTGAGCGCTGGCCTTCCTCAGCATCCAGGCCAAACTGGAAGGTGAAGCGGTAGAGGTCCTTGAAGTTCTCCTCACCTTGGGCGTCCAGCAGCATGGCAGGGAAACGTGAGCAGATACCCTCAAGGCTGTCTGCCTGGATGGCCTTGCAGCCTTCAACAAACTCCTTCCTGGTGACACAAAGAAAACAAGACCAAACATCAGCTTGTCAGTGGACCATTCCACTGAGGATGATGAGGCCCAGAAGCAAAAAAACATGACTTCATGAAGAAGCCGTTGTCTGACATCACACAGCAATGGCAGCACCCATGGAAGTGCACAGTGTAAATGGTAAACCATCAACTAAAAGGCAACATTAAGTATATTTGCCTGTATTTAATCAAAATAATACACTCTCCCATATTGTAAAACATGTAATTTTAAGTCAATATATGCTGCCAATATATAAGTGTTTTGTTGAAGCCTGTTACGATAAGCACTTTTTGCAGCTTGTGGCATCTTTTTTTGTTGTTGTGACACAACCACTAAAATCAACTGTCCTTAGTTTAACTACTGTTTTGCTGTGAAGTAAATTCAAAGATCTTAGTCTTAAAATCTGCATAAAAATGGGCAGGCGAAGGGCACTTGGGGACTGGATACAGGGAAATGGAGATCTGTGTGGGTATTTGAGACTCTCAGGAAGCACCAGCTTGTCCAGGAGCTTTGCCCACATGATGGTCAGTTTAAGGCTTATTTTAGGATGAGTTTGAGACAGATTGACAATCTACTGTGAATTGTCTAGCCTGATTACAGTTGGTATGACATTACAAAGGAGTTGAGGTTATAATTTGTTTAGGGAAGCTCGCAGCTTGCCTACAAAGGCATCGATAAAAGTGAGCAAATGCTGTACGCTACCACTTGCTGTCATCTCCACCTGAGAAGGCCCGCCTCTCATTTCATCTGACTGGACAATGGAGAAAAACATCAACAGTGTCAGGCACTTTTCAGCATGAAGTTTTTTTCAACTCGAGGCGTTCAGAGGCTGCTAAGGCATGCTCTGTCTGACAGGAGCCTTACTGACTTACTAAATATGTAGCTAGATGAGAAAACAGTTAAAGAGTAATGCATTTATGTCACTCATTTTCATTTTAACAGCTATCTTTTTAATTACAGAGATCACTTATTATCACACTTGCAAAAGAAACACCAGTTTGTCAGTCTACCACGTTTTTGTTAACGTTTGGCATCGTGCACGCTTGAGGATTAGAAGTTTCAACTGGGAAATTCCGACCTCTGACTTTGACTGGGAGGCAACACAACTAGCAGCTTAAATTACAGAGCTACAATAAAACATTTAGAAGTCATCTAATGCAAACAAAGGGCCACGTGTCTATAACAACACTAAAACAGCAGTGAAGGAGGCCATCCCCTTTGCAGTTCAAGGAATACATTTAAAAAATGTAACACTGAAAAAACATTATCTCACATCAAGCAGATTTACTTTGTTATCTGAGCCCTTCAACCATATAGGCTTTCAAAGTCAAACGTAATATAAACAGCTTCTGTAAGCATCGGTTGACAATGAAACATGTTGGTAACCAGAGTGTTGTGTTGTCCAAAGCCTCTGGATAGAAAAGTGCTGAGTAAGAAAATCAGGGGGGCGGGGGGTGTTGGGGGCAGTGACAAGTGACCCAGCCAGCAGGCAGCCCTATTCATCTCCAACACTAACTGCAGTGGGAGTCCATTTCCTGTGTGCCCCCCTACCTGTCAGTGGGAATCTGTTTGTGTATGTGTGTGCATGCCTGTATCTGGTTGAGCTGCTGAAAACGGAGTGTGAGATGGATGGATGGACGGATGGATGCACAGTGAAAGAGTGAAGACTAGAAAATCAAACAGTGCAGGGAGGGGAAGTCTCCTCTGAGGCTAGAAGTCTAATCATCAGGCATCAAGCTAGTTATTAGCGGTGCACAATAATTTGGTTAGCTGCATCATCTGATAAATGTGCTATCAGTATCAGGAAAAAAAAAAAAAAAAAAAACAGAAACCATTTTTGTAAGATCCAATCTGTTAAGTAGGGGATTTTTTTAACATTGGCTTTTTTCTTACTATTTTGGGCATTTTATGTCTTTATTAGATAGCAATGAATGGAGAGATGCAGAAAATAAAGTCTCAATTCAAACCGCAGGCACGGCAGTTCATGCTCAATGCACGCCATGGGTCATTTGTCGCTTATTTACAAGTGCTTAAGTGTGCACCATTACTGGCCAGTTCTAAAGTCATCCAAGTTTCTCTGCATTTCTTAAGGTTTTATACATGTACCCATTTTTTTCCAGTACAGACACCAGCAGCCTGGGATAAAATGCCTTGTCAGAATAGGTGTGAAATTTTCCCTGATTTGCAACTGGACATTGTGCTGGTGATGTGGAGGTGAACCAGTAGCCTGTGTTTAAAACACACTACACTGACTACATCAAAATGAGTAAAGCCAATCTACTTCAGAGATGTGTTAAATAGCGAATAGATTAAAATTAGTGCATACTGTTATGCGGTTATGTGGTCGATGTTTTCCTGTTGTGTTTTGTAGCTGCTGTGCGTGTAGTGAATAGGTTAAAATAAATAAAAGCTCAGACACAGATCAGGCTGTGTTGGGGTAACGGAGTTGATAGCATATTACAGTGAAGTGAGAAACCAGTTCCATGAAGCACGTTTCCAAAGAACTGCATGTCTATGGGCACTGTGTGTGTGTGTGTGTGTGTGTGTGTGTGTGTCTGTAAAATAACAAGGAGTGGGGAAAAAAGAATTTCCCCCAGGGGATTAATTAAGTTATTCTTCTTAACCACTAGGCACCAGGACACATTGAGGATTGC